AAAGAAAAAATTATTCATATGATTTGCAAGAATTTTTTTATAAACTTTTTAGAGAAAACAGATGAAAAGTCGATGGTATATTTGGGTTTATTATTCTTATTCAAAAACCACCTACTTTTCATTTGCTTTCTTCAAATGTTTTATAAGAAACATTACATTTTAAATTTTGAGATGAACTTTATATAAAATAAACATAATACTTGGAAAATTAGCCGAGACTATGTTACTATACTACTAAAATTAGCCGAGACTGTGGATTAATTTTTAGAAGTTTCACTCAATGTTTCATTTATTACTTTTTTGGGAAGAACCATAAAAAAAATTTTTTTTAAATATTTTTAAAATTATAATATTTTTAAGTACGAGTTAATCTCTCAGGAATAAACTTCACAGAAAAATCAGCAAAAATTTTGTAATACGGAACGCGTCCTATCCGGCATGTTAGTCTACAAAATATATATAAATAGGAAATAAAAAAATACCTTTCGTGTTTTTGCAATAAGAATACATTGTGCCACTACTCTAAATACATAAAAGTGTCGTAACATATTTTTCCCTTGTAAAACTTTCATAAATGTCAAGGAAAATATTTTAATTATTATTGAATAAAATTTTAATTTTGCTTGCCTCAGGTCCTCTTAAAAAGTTGTTACAGCGCATTGTCTTAAATTAGTATAAATGAAATATAAAAGATTTTAATTCGTTACATAATTGGTAATTTTTATTATTAGTGTCATTATTATTTTAATAAGTGAGAGTTTTATAATAATTTTCCTTTCATTCCTTCATTTTTATCGCATTAACCTTTATTTATAATTTTCTTATCACTATTTTTAAATTTATTATTGAACTCATTTTTTTAAAATGTTTAAATTTCAGTATATTATAATTTCTAATTCTATTTTTTAGTGTATTAGGTTTCATCTCTTTATAAATTTTTAGATATATTACTCCTTTAGCTTTGAGGATTAGTGCCATCTAGTGTCATTGAAACAAAACAAAAATGTTTTCATTTGCTATGAATTTTACATTTTCTTAGCAATATTAACGTGAAACATTATTCTTTTGCCAGAAAAACGAAAATTATTTCTCTTTTTATCCATCGCTTTTGGTAATTACATTATAATTAAAAAAAAATGTTGCGTATGTTAATTTAAAATTTATTTTCTTGTTTTGACTGAAATCGTTTTTAGTATAGTGCCGCCATCTACATTTTTAAATTGATATTTTATGCGAAATATAAATTTATTAATCAAGCACTTGAACTTCGAATATTTGAGTCTGTGAATCGATGGAATACGCTTTACATTAAATCGACGAATAGTCGGATTAGTGAATTGGAACATTAAAAGTTTAACGAATTACTCAATGGGTGTTTTTGAATGAATAAATCAATAAATCGATTATTAACTAAACATGGTTTCTTAATTTGTAATTTTCGGTACCAACGACTGTAATTACTTACTTATTTATGCATTAAGCTTAATAATATTACTTGCTTTAAATTTTGCCTTTTAGCGTATAGTAACATACATATATATAATAGGATTCATAAATTGTCCATATCTTTTTTAACGAGTTTTTGACCAATGTCCTGTTCCATATGAGAGCTTTTTTTCCGATATAAAAATAAATCAAGGTAAAACTGGAGTGAAAAAATTTAAGTTTACTCAACTTAATTAGACAAAATATATTCATAATTAAATAGTTCTTAAAATATTTTTTGATAAAAATTCCTGTATTTATTTATTTATAACTATTATTCTTATAAATGCGAAATAAAAAAGCAGAGTCTTGTTTTAATGAGAGTTGAGTTGCAATCCAAAAAAACTTATTCCATAATCCACCCTTCTCTAAGATATTATATTATGGGTTCCCAGCTTTTTTAGTTTCACTTCCCACTTTGCGAGACAATTTTTTTCAACGCACCCCTTCCTCTCCCAATTTTTTTAACAAGCTGTTTTTAAACAAACTTTTAAAATTTTTAATTTTTATTATTTAAAAAAAAACTTTTTTTATAGTCATTGTTTTCGATATATTACACTTGTTAACTAACTGAAAATTACTGTTAATTACTATAAATAACTATTAATTTAAATATACTGTTAATTTATTGAAAAATTTCATTTGCTAGTTTTTATAATTGAACAATTTTTTATGAAACTTAACCTTTCGTAAAAAAGAAATATTCGCAGCGAACTTTTAAGTAGAGTGTGAAATAACTTTTAAATAAAGCATTTTTAAAATGCCCAATTATTGTTGCATTATGTCCATAATGAAAATTTTTTTTAAAAAAATTTATATTTTGAGTTTTGGAAAAGAAAAAGAAAATTTCGCCTTTAATATGTCAAAAAATATGTAGAAAAAAGTATTTTAACTGCAAAATTGGTTAGTGATTTTTTTTTCTCAATCAACTTTAACAACAAGTAATTTATGCAGAGTTAACTATGCATTGTTTTTTCAAAGTAAAGTAAAACATTATTTCTAAAGAGTACTTGATATTTATAAAAAAATTCTTCTGTATGTAAGCCCCTTAGAAGTTTTCAACACGCCCAAGTTGGGAACCTATATGCTATAGTTTTAATTTCTGAGAAGGTATTAGTTTCGAAACAGTTTATGCAAGAAAAAGAAATCAGAAAGGAAAAAAAATTATCTTCCTTCTTCGAATTTTCCTTCTGTTAAAGTTGAAATCCCTGCTTTTATTTGTCGATTATCTATAGTGACACAGCAGATGGTCGCTTTGTCTTTCAGCTTAAGTGCAGTTATACACTATCCTAAAAAAACATATATTTGACCAGCTCAATACGGAAATAATTAGAAGAAAACTGAAAGTTATTTTAAAAGTTGTGGTTTGGGACATATGCATATACTTAGTTTGTTCCTTCTGAAATCGAAAATGAGTTTTGCTTACTGTGTCGGTCTCTGGAAAATACAGACATACATTCCCTACTTGTACCCGTCAACAAAATAAATAAATAAATAAAAATAAATCAGTTAATAAATAAAATACAAAATCAAAGACAAAGAAAAAATTATTCATTTTGAAACTTCGTTACTTGATTTGAAAAGAAAAAAAAAAAAAAATAGAATTTTCGATTGTTTGTTTACGATTAGAACGTAGGGTTAGAACGTTTTCTTTTACCCTATAACATTTAAAAAAATAGTTTATTATGTAATTTGTTCGCGCTACATTTTTTTACAGTAAAACACAAAAAATATTGCTAATTGAAAATTCATTAAAATATGTACTAGATTATTTTACTTTCTAGAATAGATTTTTTTATTATTATTTATTTTGTATTTTTTTATTATTATTTATTTTGTTTACAAAACGTTTTTCGCTTAACGTTAGTTAACAGTGAGTGCCACCAATTATGTACCAGCGAATCATTTGTTTAAAGATCTCTCAAGGTCTCTGAACGAGATTTATGGAAATCTACAATCTATGCTAACGTGCAGGACACACAATGCGCCGCGACATTCACCTCGTCGCTCTCTGTAAACTCACCCTTCTCCTGAAAATCGACTCGGACCAGACATTTCTAATGTTCAATCTAAATTACTGATCTAGTTCAACTTTTTATTTAAGCTTTGCGTTTTAAAATAGAATTAAAAATTTCAATCAAAGTATCAGTAATATTTATTTACCCACTTTTCAGATTATCGCTTCTTATCCTCACATATTTTCATAATTGCATAAACGATCATTTACATTTAAAAATTTAAAAAAAAAGAAAAAAAAAAAAAACAGACGATTTTTCTTATAACTTTCGTAAGCATAACTTTTTTTTATAATATTAACATAAATTGAAAACGATATTAAAGTTTTGTTTTCTTCAATCTTTTTGCAGGACATTATAAAGCATTTAAACAAATCTATATATGAATCATTCAAATTGTGCAATATTTATTAACCAAACATTTCAATTTGCTCAAATGAACCAGTTTACAAATAATTTTCCTTTTTATAATAAATAAGATTTTTATTTGAAATTAAATTAAAATCTATGAATCGACAATGTATGTTACATCTTTTAAATAAACTACGATCTAGTTTCGATTATTTACGATAATCTAAAAATTTTTATTTTTTACTAATAATCTAAACCTCAAACGATTTTAATTAATTTATTGTTTCAGACGATTGAAGTTATCAATTTTGACCGATTTTTGTTCTTTTTATTTCCTAACTGAATTCATTTATTTATTTATCATAATTTCAGCCATTTTTAAAAGAGTTCTATTGGGTAAGTTTATAGTTATGTTTAGTCCAAATTGTTTTTTTCTTTTCTTATTAGTGTTGTGTGAATATGTAAGATAGGCAGATAATGGAATCTGCATTACGTTAAATGTTTCTAGCTTAATACAAAACATTCTCTCAACAATAAAGTAATCAAATTATTTGCTTTTCCAGCTTCGTTTTTTGTGAGGAGATCTTCAGAATCTCAAAAATAACCTACCCATATGATTTCACGGAGATTTCACCAATGGAAAGACAACTGTCAAGATGAAGCTCTTGTAGATTTTTGGTATAATAGCATAGATGCTGAAAATATAATTGACGAGTATGGAATCTTAAATTTAAAAAGTTTCTTGGAACAATGTGCCAAAATTATTTGTAAAAGAATAATAATGGATAAATGCTTTTCAACTTTATCGCTACCTCAAAGTAAGTATAATCTCATTACTTTAAATTTTTTTTAACCATAAGTACGGAACATATAAATATATTTTGAATGTTAATAAATCGAAAATGTTAGTTGGAAAAAAAACAATTATTTCAAAAAGCACAAATTTGTAAGTTTTAGTTTCATGATTGAGTTTTATTAATTTTATGATTGATTATTTAAATACATTAAATAAAATATGTTTCGCCAAGCTAAAACAAAATTGAATCAGACTGTTATAATTTTTATTTGAATTTTTTTTTCTGCTAAGAAATAAATTTCGTGAGGGCAATTTCATACATTAACTTTGTAAAAATATTGAGATTATTTCTGTAGATTTTCTAAAGCAATTATAGAGCAAATCTTATTTATTAGCATATTAAAAAATGCTATCAAAGAATAGTGTATAGTTCGTTTGGCGCATTTTTTGGCAACAAACCATTTTATTACAACGAGCGCTAATATTGTTTTATAACTTTTTGTGAATAATTATTTTATCGTACTTTTCAATTCTGTTGATGCAAAAAAATTCAGCGATTTATTTATTTATTTATTTTTTTTAAAAAATCCTTCAGTTTTTTAAAAAAAATGAAGAAATTTTATTTGTGCTTAGCGACTTAATCGCCAACACCAGTGAAATAGAAAAGTACCCATTTTTTGTCATAGTTTAATATTATTTATTTATTTTGAATGCTTTTTAACTGTTATTTCATCTAAGCATTTATTGCACTGAAATCATTACTAAAATGGGGTACATATAGTTTATCAACCGTATTATTATTATTTATTTTATCAAGTTAATTATTATGTTCATTTGATTTATCAATTCTATTATTATAGTAAATACCATACAGAGCTGCACAAAATTATACCCTCACCCAAAATTTTTAACAAATTATCTACGTCTTGATATTTTCTTTAAATTTTTACACAGAATCTACTTAAATCTCTTTGACAAAAATTTCTCTCGATCAGATCTAACTATAGGTGATGTTAATCAAATTAAGTATATTTTGCGGAAAAAACAATAAAAATGTTAAATAAGTAGCAAGCAAGGTCAAATATTCCAGCCACATAATTATAAATTCAAACAATAGATAATTTTTTAGGGTGAAAAGTTAAAATTATGACGCAGATTATTACTCTGGTTCTGATTAAAGGCAAAATTATAATCTAAATTTATATAAACTGAATTTCTCTGCTTTTGTCCAACGGAGAAAAGAATACGAGGATTAGGAATTAGGTACTCTCAAGTGACTGAATGACATTGAATCTGCTAATATGGTAGAAAGAAAAAACATCTCACAGATGAGTTAGTCCTATCCCTAAATTTGTGTAGTGATTTTTTTTTCCTTCCAAATAGTATTATTACATTATTAGTTAACATTTTAAAATATGCAAAACCGCTTTGCACTTAAAATGAAATACTGATTTATTTATTTATTTATTTTTTTAATCTCCCCAAGCAGATGCCATTTCAATTTATTAGTTAAATATATAGTAACTGCACCTAAAAATTTGCTAAATGGAGCTGATTGCGAAAAAAAATTCCTGTGCGGCTGTGATTTTTTGGCATAGCAATTTATGATTTGCATTTTAATCAATAGTAGTCAATTGAACACGAAAAGAAAGTTATTAGAGAATTCTCCTCGCTTTCTGCTTTAAATTTTAACTATAAGTTTAAAATAATCTTTTTTTTTTAATTCACCTAAAAAAAATGTAAATAATTTTTTAGGTTATGTATTATTTTATATGAGTATTTACCATTTTTTTTTTAAATTTAGCAACAAATAACTTTTCCTTCTTTCTTTCTTTTTTTTTTTTTTTTTCTTTTGCTTTAACCGTCTATCGTAATTTAATAATTTTTTATTCTCTGGTTTTTCTCATTTATGAAACCCATTTTTTTGAAATCTTATTTTGGTAATGAAGATCTTGAAAACAAAGTGACATAAGTAAGTCCTTGCGAATAGAAGCAAATCTTACCATTCATTTTGGGCTGCTTTAACAACTAAAAAAATTGAAAGAAATTGTTTACTTCAAATATTTAACATACTTTTAAAGGTACACCACTTATAACTTATAATATTTTTTTTTTTACCTCTTAATTTTGTTTTTTAGTTGTGATTCGACCTGCCAAACGTACACTAGTCAAAACAACGAAAAGTGACGGAGAAACTAATTTTAATGATCATCAAATTTTCGAGGATTATTTTTTTAAACCTAAAAAGCTACGACTCAACCAATTTACGTTCTCATATGAAGATTTTGGTGAAAGCTATGTGCTGTCGCCATCTACCGGAGAGGATGAGAGAAAAAAACCAGTGGATGTATCCAGTCAAGATGATTTGTGGACAACAATTGAATCCAGCTATAAGGCGCTCATGGCCCGTGATTTGATAAAAGAATGCAATGTAAGTTTGCAAATTTATTTTTTCCATCTTGTTTATCAATTCATATTTTTTCTGAAATAAAAAAACAAGGGAAAAGTGTATGGAATGCAATATTTCATGTGGGAAATAGGCAATGAAAAACAATAATTAGTTTATAATTTAAAAATGAGTAAAGAAAATAAAGTTTTTCTGCATATAGTTTGCTTTTTTTCGAAAAAAATTTGCATGTAACAAAAATGTAAGAGATACATAGAATTTGAAATAAAAATAAACAAATTAATAAATGAATAAGAAAAAAATAATTAATAAAATTTAAAATTATAATAGTTAAATAAAATAAATGTTAAATACATGATTAATTTAAAGTAAAATGTGGAAAAATTTATTTTCAATTCATAAATTTATTTATTTTTATTTTATATTGATTCAATTTATTTTATAAATGTATTTTTTACATTTTATTATCACTTTTGCTTTGTGGATTTTTTCTTTACAAGAGAAATATATTCAGTTATAGTTGATTATACTTTCAGTATTTCAGTTTCATTTAAAATTGAAGATTTCTTAGAAAAAATAATTTATTTTGACGTTTTGTTTGAGGAAATTTTCTCATAAATAATTAAGATACAACGTATTTTTTACAAATGTATATGAAGTACAATAAGTTTCCATAAACTTTTAAACGATATTTTTCAATGCAACATTCACCTGAAATAGTTAGGCTGATTTTGTCTTCAGTTTTCTTTATGCTGTTGTAGCAAATCGAATTTTTACAAAAACATTATTTTCATGTTTAGCAACACATATTCTTTGACGAAATACTCAAAAACTTATTTCTTATATAACTTTTTTTTTCTCTTTCATTTTGCTGATTTTTGAAATCATCTTCAATTTTAGGGATGTAATTTCCGTTGCACCTAACAGTTTTTGGGAATGCTAATATTTTTTGATTGGTTAAATGTTAAAATAAGATTTTTATGACATGACTTAAAAATTTGAGCTCATCATTTTACTTAGATTAAACTGTGATAGAAAGAAATCAACGAGCTCTACGTGCGACGAAAATTCCATTAAACTAAAATGCATGTTGAATGTGATGTATTTAAAAAATGCAACGCTCTGTTGTACGTAAAATGTAGATTTTGAGCCTCTTTTTTATTATTTATGTAATTTTTGATATTTTTTTTAAAGAAATAAACTTAGTGTTCCTATAATACAGTGAAACCTCTCGGGAGCGACCATTCTCTGTTTAACAGAAAATGGTCGTTAATGGAGATTGCTCGTTTTTCGGGGTTACCTTCATTGACTTCAAAATGAGATCAAAGGTGCATGATTTTTCGCAAGCAATTTTCCTGGAGAGTTCACTGTACATGTTCTCAAACATGCATTATGACGAATCATGTCCAAATAGTTTTAAAAATTTCACATTAATTTAACTTACAAAATTTCACACATAGCAGACATCTCAGACGCTATTAAATTACTTTATTTAATGACTCAGATAACAATGGCTTTTTTTAGGTACTGCACCTTTCAAAATTATCATTCAAGTCAACGTTTAAAATTATTTTACAGTATATAAACTTTAATGGCAAACCGAATGCACAGCACAAATGTATTTAAATGTTCTAATTCTTTAACCCCTCTTCAAATCCTAACACCCTAATTAGTATTGAACAATATATTAATTAAATTTGATGCGAGCGATATTGTGCAAATTCTTTATATATTGAATTTTAGCCACAGTAAGTATGAGTACAGGAAGTATTTAAGCATAGTAGACAGCACTTGTATTAAAATTATTTTCATCTCTATCATGAAGTACTACTTCCTTACGCAACTTTCGAGCCATACCTTTAGACTTGAGTATCGTAGTTTGTATAGATTTATATATCCCTCAAAAAAGGCAAACCATAGCACCGTTTCTGTTTACAAATTTTATGGCCATTTTTGAAAGAATCCAGAATAAATCTAAATAACTCGTAACAAAGTTTTTATTTCTATAAAAATACAAAATTATTTTAAATATGCACTTAACTACATTCAACGCTACTTAAATTATTACGTAAGGCAACCTAACAAATCGAATAATAACTATATTTCCAATGGAAGGTTTTTCATGATTGCATTTGGTTTTCATGATTGCATGCACTTAACTACATTCAACGCTACTTAAATTATTACGTAAGGCAACCTAACAAATCGAATAATAACTATATTTCCAATGGAAGGTTTTTCATGATTGCATTTGGTGCCACATAAGAGAAATATGTATATTATGAACCTGAGGAAGTTTTGTAATTTTTAAATAATTTACTGGTGTCAGATATAGTTTATAACACCATATTGTTGTTATTTTGAGGACTTATGGTCATCTAGGTTTGGCATAATGTAACTGATTCTGTTATGATAACATTTTAAACCATATATGATAGTTCTGGCTGTTTTCGTAGCCTTTGTCGCCACATGACATGACGCTTTTTTCTGAATATTCTGTTTTCATAGTTTATAACAGCTCTTCACGACTCTTAGATCAAGTTTAAACTATATTTTGCACCCATTATTCTAATTCTGAAAATGACGCATCAGTTTGAAGAAAAGCTACAGTTTTGCAAAAATGAAAAGTGATCTAAACTTTGTGATCTGATATTTAAAAATTAATCAAAAAGTCACCGAAACATCAATATGATTTAAAAAATTACGACAATGCTGCTTTATCTGGGCTCATAGATTTTAATAAAAATTTAGAATTATACATAGGTTTTTATAATTTTCAACTGGGTGGAAAAATCTCGTAAAATTGGATTTTTTTAGAAATTTTTTTTATTGCTTTAAAGATTACGTAAATCCTTACGGTAAGATAGTAAATTATATAATTTAAAAATATNTATTTTCAAACCCTTGATTGGTTAAATGTTAAAATAAGATTTTTATGACATGACTTAAAAATTTGAGCTCATCATTTTACTTAGATTAAACTGTGACAGAAAGAAATCAACGTGCTCTACGTGCGACCAAAATTCCATTAAACTATAACGCATGTTGAATATGATACATTTAAGAAATGCAACGCTCTGTTGTATGTAGAATGTAGATTTTGAGCCTCTTTTTTATTATTTTTGTCATTTTTGTTATTTTTTTAAAGAAATAAACGTAGTTTTCTTATAATACAGTGAAACCTTTCGGGAGCGACCATTCTCTGTTCCACAGAAAATGTGGAATCTCCGACGCTATTAAGTTACTTTATTTAATAACTCAGATAACAATGGCTTTTTTTAGGTACTACATCTTTCAAAATTATCATTCAAGTCAACGTTTAAAATTATTTTACAGTATATAAACTTTAATGGCAAACCGAATGCACAGCACAAATGTATTTAAATGTTCTAATTCTTTGACCCCTCTTCAAATCCTAACACCCTAATTAGTTTTGAACAATATATTAATTAAATTTGATGCGAGCGATGTTATGCAAATTCTTTATATATTGAATTTTAGTAATAATTTAAAATATGTTCGCTATCAAATCACCATTAAGCAGCCATTAAATCACTCAAGCCACAGTAAGTATCAGATTGAGATATTTAAGCATAATAGACAGCACTTGTATCAAAATATTTTCATCTCTATCATGAGATAAGTTCGAAAACTCCTCAAAATGGTCCATTATGTACTGTACTACTTCCTCACGCAAATTTCGAGCCATAACTTTAGACTTGAGTATTGTATTTTATATAGATTTATGTATATAAAATAAGAAAAAAAGGCTAGACTCAAAAAAGGCAAGCTCCTTCCCCAACAGTTGGTATGCAGCACCACAGCACCGTTTCTGTTTAAAAATTGTATGGTCATTTTTGAAAGAATCCAGAATAAATCTAAATAATTCGTAACTAAGTTTTTATTTCTGTAAAAATACAAAATTATTCTAAATATGTACCTAACATATAACTACATTCAACGCTACTTAAATTATTACGTAAAACAACCTAGCAAATCGAATAATAACTGTGTTTCCAATAGATGGTTTTTCATGAGCATTTGGTGCCACATAAGAGAAATATGTATATTATATGAGGCAGTTTTGTAATTCTTGAATAATTTACTGGTATCAGATATAGTTTATAACATCATATTGTTATTATTTTGAGGACTTATGGTCATCTAGGTTTGGCATAATGTTACTGATTCTGTTATGATAACATTTAAACCATATATGGTAGTTCTGGCTGTTTTCGTAGCCTTTGTCGCCACATGACATGACGCTTTTTTTCTGAATATTCTGTTTTTATAATTGCTGTGAGTTTATAACCGCTCTTCACGACTGTTAGATCAAGTTTAAACTATATTTTGCCAGCACCCATTATTCTAATTCTGAAAATGACGCATCAGTTTGAAGAAAAGCTACAGTTTTGCAAAAATGAAAAGTGATCTAAACTTTGTGATCTGATATTTAAAAATTAATCAAAAAGTCACCGAAACATCAATATGATTTAAAAAATTACGACAATGCTGCTTTATCTGGGCTCATAGATATTTGTAAAAATTTAGAATTATACATTGGTTTTTATAATTTTCAACTGGGTGGAAAAATCAATAAAATTGGATTTTTTTAGAAAAAAAAAATTTATAGCTTTAAAGATTGCGTAAATCTTTACGGTAAGATAGTAAATTACATAATTTAAAAATATAGATTTACTTCATGTATAAGGCATTTGAACTGTAACTTTTCAAAAAAAAAGTTTTGTAATTTTTATTGGTATTAATCGATTAAAATACTGGTGAATGTTAATTTTGTTTGTCCATTAACAAACTAATGAAAAGTAAATGGTGAGTTAAGTTATGGATTGAAATTCTTTTTGTGTTCTTTTTGTGTTTAGTATAAGCTATAAAGGTGTGATTTCTTACGACGAAATGGTCCAAAGGTCAAAATAGAATTAAAACTAAAGATATATATCTGAATAACTTTGTTTATGATACTACTTTATCATATTCTATCCATAAATAGGACATTTATGGATAGAATATAAATATTTTAAAAATAGTTTTATATCTTTTTAAATAATCATCTGAAAGTGTATTAATAAAATCAATGCAAACGTAAATTATAGTAAATAACAGTAATTTATTTTGTATTTAATTGTATTTAATGCTAGTTAAGATTCGTGAATTCACATTGCAGTCATTAAGACAATTAAGACTTAAATGAGAATAAATAAACCTAAAAATTTTAACTTTAAAAAATAATTTAAATATTCCCAACATTTTCTCTATTTATATATCGAGTATTAGAAACATTATTAAATATTCGAACTAAGGTAGACAACGTTATTATTAAATATTGCTATTTTTAGAATTTTTTGTCTCTAAAAAATGCATCGTAAAAAAAAGGCAAATAAAATTGATAAAAAACAGAGATTTGAATTAGATTTAATTAAATTTAAATGTAGTCTAAAAACGTGATTTCAGATCGCAATTATGGTGAGATTTATGTCCTAAAGAAGAATAATTATATGTAAATATTTCTAAACGCACATTCTTAATCTAATTAAAATATTCCAAAACATATTTTGAAACTCATTAATTCTTAAAGCAGTTAACAAAGCAGACAAAAACAAAAACCGAATTATTTTCTCTGCACTGGAATAAAGGCTTGTTTTTTTTAAATCTTGTATTTCTTTATTTTTTTATTCTGGGGTAAATGACATGTTTTATCAGCAACAGAAGATATTATTGAACTCATAACAAAGCAATTTTCTGAACTTTTCAAATAAAATGATTAAACATCTCTCTATAGAATATATTATTTTTTCTTTTAAGTTGAATAAACTATTTACCCGCTAATTAATATTTTTATAACGTAAGAAAAAATAATTGTATGTCATTAAAATATTTTAGAATTCTTTTAATTTTTGATGATAGTCAAAGTGTATTTCTTTGAAATTAAGTACTCTTTAATATCTTTCCAGTTGTTTCAAGTAGGTCACAAAAAATGTTTTTTCTTTTTATAAAATAATCTGATTGCTGTTAGTATAATTGGAGCAAAAAATTAAATGATGTTTCTTCTTTTACAGGAAACAAAAGAAGAGATACATAACTGTAGTTTGCTGACCATCAGTTCCTGTTCCAAGTCACCACGTCACTCAATTTTGAGTGTGTCTGAATTCAAGCAAAAATTCAATCAGCTTCATGACAGGCTTCACTCCATTCACATTGCTCCTAATGACGAGTTAACTGATGTAAGTACATTGAATAAAATATTTTTTTTTCAAATATTTAATACGTTCTCAGATTTTATGTTAGTAGATTTTGGAAAGAAAGATAAGCAGCTAAGATATTTATCTTTAATTTCTTAGTTTTCTAATCGTTTCCGATTTTAACAATATTTTTCAAGTAGCAAGCATAAGCAAATTTACTTATTTTTTATTTGTTTTTTATTTTTTTAAATGAATTGAAATAAAAAATATAGTTGAGTTTAATTGTGCTATGCTAACCGAAAAGAAGCATTTTATTTTCAAACCCTAGCCTAGTATTAATATATTTATAATTAAAACTAAGTATTAAAAGTATTATTTGGTTTCAAGCCCACATGGCGACAGTTGTCGGCATAAAATCATACACATGGCTAAAAAAATAAAAAATAAATAAATAAACATACGCATGAACGACGAATTTGTTTCTTTGAAATATCTTCGGAATTTACAAAATAGTAACGAAAAATAGTTTTTGCATCGAATTCCATGTATTTAAAAAATGTGTTGTACTAATTATATAATTTTTCAAATATTTAATACTTTCTCAGATTTTATGTGAGTAGATTTTAGAAAGAAAGAAAGGCAGAAAGCTAAGATATTTTTCTTTAATTTCTTAGTTTTCTAATTGTTACAGATTTTCACGATATTTTTCAAGTATCAAGCAAAAGCATATTTAACTACTTTTTAATTTTTTAAAGGGGAGTTTAGTTCATTTTTTTAAATGAATTGAAATAAAAAAACATAGTTGAATTTACTTGTGCTATGCTGACCGAAAAGTAGAATTTTAATTTAAAATCCTAGCCTAGTATTAACATATCTATAATTAAGACTAAGTATTAAAATACATATTTGGTTTCACGCCCACATGGCGGAAGTTGTCGGCATAAAATCATACGCATGGCTAAAAAAAATAAAAAATAAATAAATAAATATACGCATGAGCGACGAATTTGTCTCCTTGAACTATCTTCGGAATTTACAAAATAATAACGAAAAATAGTTTTTGCATCGAATTCCATGTATTTAAAAAATGTGTTGTACTAATTATATATGTGTTACAGTATGTTTATGATACAAGACTTTTTAAATTGAAATGTTAAAATTTCACATTTTCATGTTGTGCTGTGCTTTGCATTAATGTACTGACAGTACAATTGTTCATCAATAAAATAAAATGTTTTCCTTTTTTAGAATTGACTTTATTTATGATTTTTAGCATAAATATTTTCTTATGTAATATTTTAGGAACTTATACTTTCTCTGTTTTCTCATTTATTTATTTATTTAATCTTGGTGTTTTAATCACTATATTGAATCAATTTATTAATATTATTTTAGGTTGTTTTTAAATTAATTTCAATAACTACTAATGCGCAATTATTATGGGATATTGAACTTAACTAGTTTTAGTTTGTTATAGATGATTGATAATTTTGGTTGTGTGCTACAACATGAATTATGTAATTGTAAAGTTAAATTTCTTTTATCAGGTTTATCTACCATATTAAGTTTTCGGACCACTAAAGGAATACTTAGGTAGTCCTATTGAACCACTAAATTTTTATTGCTGTTGTAAAATGTAATAAAAAACTTCTTCTAATTTACATTTGAGAGGTTTCGAGTTTGAAGTACTGGAATAAAATTGATTCATCCAAAAATTGAAACCCGTTCTTTATTTAAAGGAGATATCTCTGCGTAAATTATTGTGTTGCAATTCCTTATCAAATAAAATTTTTAATTAACACCACTTCTTAAAAACATATGTTTTTTTGAGAATGAAACAATATTCACATTTTAGTATAGAAATAAGTTTCTTTATTCATCAAATATAATTAAGTTACATGTTTTAGTGCATTTATGTTACAAGAAAGACACCTGAAAGGAATTGTTTTTAACAGTATTTTAGGGTCTGAATATATATATATCAATTTTGAATCTGTCGCCAAGTTTAAATCGTTATGCAGACGAAGAGCGTTGTTATCAGCAATGTTAAGTTGCTTTAATTTAAAACTTTTCTCCTTAATCGGAGGCTTTAATAAATGCGTTTTTTAAAAATTTCAAATCTAATGTAAGAATTAAAATTCTATTGATTTCAGTTATGAATTCTATAGTTCCTGAATAAGCTCTAAATTTACAGGTTTATTTTTATGATAACATTTTATTGGCAAAATAGAACTTAAACCAGAAATTGTTTGAAATTTTTTTTATTTGTATCGTTATTTTTAAAACGGTATTATTTATCACGCATTTGACAAAATTTCTACAACATTTAAATATTTTTTTTTTGCCCAAAGCTCCCTGCAGCCAATGCGAAGTAGTAATGTGACGATCCCTTAGGAGCTTTATGCTTCATAAAAGCGCTTGTAGCTCTCATGGATTAATAGAGATGAAATTGGAAACTCGATGTTTAGAAGCGTTTAGTATATAGCAAAAAACGACATTAGATGTGATGATTTTTTTCAGTTGTGTCCAAATGCCAGAAGAATGACAAAGCCCCTAGAAGTAAACAAAATGTTATATACCTATTATTTTATTACGAAAAAAAAAAAGTCTTTTTGATTTACGAGTAACTTTTCAAGTCTTTCCTTAACACCCATTAATCTAATACATCATAAAATATTTATAAATAAATATTACAAACTTTAATTTTATCAAATATTAATAAAAAGTCTTACTTGTGCTGTAATAAATCTGGACAATAATTGTTTTGAATATGATTGATAATGTAAAAACTTCATTAGTTCAAAACTTTATGTATAACTACTATGAAAATTTATCTGCCTTCATTTTTGAAGCTAATGAAATTTTTTACACACTCAAATCTTTCTTTTTGTTTCAGTTTTTTGAGATTATTAATTTCTTGCAATCTAAAAATTTAAAATATAACATCACATGAATGTTTCTGCTAACTAAATCTGTTTATAAGAAATAATATTGAAAACTCTTTTGCTGAACTGCTTAATGTTTGAACTGTTTGAATTTATGTGTTTCATACAACATTTTGAGTTTTCGTTAGACTACTCGTTAGATTAAACACGTTGCCACCACTGACGATTATATCCGTCCTGCACATTTTAATTAATTAAAAAGTATCACGATTAGCACAAAGTGTACTGATGAATTTATTTGTTAGTTATTTCGTAATGTACCGAAAAAAAATGTAATTTTCCGTATTTTGCTCTGGGTGGAGAAAAAAAATCTGATGACTATAACAGCCGAGGAGAGTTGTCATGGAAACATTGTGAGAAAACGTAATAATTTTCACATCCAATCATACGATTGACGCCCATTTTCATATAGATGTCATAAACAATTGAACAAAATGTGTTTCCGAGCTTGATAATCAAATTAAAAGGATATGGAAGCATGTTAAGAAGTACTGTTTTTTTTTCGTTTTTTTTGCGGTGTTTAAAAAAATTAGTAATATAACATTAGTGAATACTTACAAAGAACCAGAATATTTTTCAATCTGTCTTATAAGCTGATTTTTGTGCATAAATAAACTAATATTAGGAAGAATTTTGATTTTATAATGCAGTGTCAACCGATTTGTATCAGAATTGACCACGAGCGTGTATACATTGAATAATTTTGTTGTCCTAGAGTAAAGTTTACTAATCAAAAATTATAAATACGTTTTATAGAATAATATAATTTTCCCAATGTATTACGCAGGCAGAACTATTTCCTCTTAAATATATTTAAGGAAAAAACAGATATTACAGATTTGAAATGATCCTATATGCTTTTTTTTTATCAGCTGAATGAAATATTTCAAGAAAACCATACGATCAAACACTCCAGACATTGTATTAAAGTCAAAGGTTTTGTTATCTAAGGTCAAAAACGTTTTTAAAATAATGCCCAATTCAAAATAATGTTGTTTTTTTTAAATTTTTCTTAATTTTAAAGACATGTTTGAGTTATACCTTTTGAGTTTTAATTTAGATTTAACTATTTAATTTTAATTTAATTTAGTTTTAAATTAAGATAATTTACTAAAGGTGCAAAAATGTGAAAGCTAATAACACCATATGTAATGTTTATATCAATGAAAAATATTACCGAACTTAAACAACATTTACATTGCAACCTTACTCTTTGCTTATTTCAAAGAGGAAAGCTATAATACAGGGATGAGATTCTTCCGCGGATTCGCGGATTTCCGCTTTTTTTTAGATTTTTCCATTTTTCCCGCTGATTTCCGCTGAATTTTTTTTTTTTGCACAAGTTAAAATATTTTATGNAAACTTTAGTTTTATCAAATATTAATATTAAGTCTTACCTGTGTTGTAATAAATCTAGACCACAATTGTTTTGAATATGATTGATTATGCAAAAACTTCATTACTTTAAAACTTTCTGTATAACTACTATAAAAATTTATCCACCCTCATTTTTGAAGATAATGAAGTTTTTTACACTATCAAATCTTTCTTTTTGTTTCAGTTTTTTTGAGATTATTCATTTCTTGCATTCTGAAAGTTCAAAATATACCATCATAAGAATGTTTCTGCTAACTCAATCTGTTTATAAGAAATATTATTACAAATTGTTTTGCTGAACTGCTTAATGTCTGAACTGCTTGAATTTATGTGTTTCTTACAACATTTTGAGTTTTCGTTAGAGTATTCGTTAGATTAAACACGTTGCCGCTACTGACGATTATATCCGTCCTGCACATTTTAATGAATAAAAAAGCATCACGATTAGCACGAAGTGTACTGTTGGATTTATTTGCTAGTTATTTCATACTGTACCGCAAAAAGATGTAATATTCCGTATTTTGCTCTGGGTAGGGGAAAAACGTGATGACGATAACAACTGAGGAGAGTTGTCATGGAAACATTGTGACAAAACGTGATAATTTTCACATCCAATCATACGATTGACGCTCATTTTTATATAGCTGTCATAAACAACTGAACAAAATGTGTTTCTGAGCTTGATAATCAGATTAAAAGAGTATGGAAGCTTGCTAAGAAGTACTGTTTTATTTTTTTTATTTTTTGCGATTTTCAAATAATTAGTAATATAACGTTAGTGAATGCTTACAAAGAACCAGAATATTTTTCAATCTCTCTTATAAGCTGATTTTTATGTATAAGTAAACTAATATTAGGAAGAATTTTGATTTTATAATCCTCCGATTTGTATCTGAATTAACCACGAACGTGTATACATTGGATATTTGGTTGTAATAGAGAAAAGTTTACTAATCAAAAATTATAAATATGTTTTATAGAATAATATAATTTTCCCAATGTATTACGCAGCCAGAACTATTTCCTCTGAAATATATTTAAGGAAAAAACAGATATTACAGGTTTGAAATGATCCTATATGCTTTTTTTTTTAATCAGCTGAAGGAAATATTTCAAGAAAACAATACTATGAAACACTCCAGACATTGTTTTAAAGTCAAAGGTTTTGTTATCTAAGGTCAAAAACGTTTTTAAAATAACGCCCAATTCAAAAGTATGTTGTTGTTTTTTTTAAATGTTTCTTAATAATAAAGAAATGTTTGAGTTATACCTATTGAGTTTTAATTTAAATAAAATAATTTACAAAAGGTGCAAAAATGTGAAAGCTAATAACACCATATGTAATGTTTATCAATGAAAAATATTACCGAACTTAAGCAACATTTACCTTACAGCCTTACTGTTTGCTTATTTCAAAGAGGAAAGCTATAATAGCAATTGGTGGCTTATTTCAGATATAAAAACTGATATTTTACGAAATATTGTTTCATTTTATTTCTTTACTTTAGTTCTATTTGCATTAGAAATTTCAAATTGATAATCGCACTTTAATAAAGATTATTTCTTTATTGTAAAACTAGCTGGTAGATTTTTTTACAACAGCTTTATGTATTTAAATGGAATTGTGAATAAACCAGTGAAATATATTGAAAAGAAAATTAGTTTGTAATGAAAAAAAAAAGGTTACTGTAGTTTGGTGTTTGGTCTAATTTTGTTTTTCCTGTTAAATCTCTGTGGTAACATTATTATTTTCTGTTCTCTAAACTAAAGCTTTTTACTTGTTGATGTTTATGTAATCAAATAGTTTATTTGTACTATATTTATCGTGATGATTTATCGTAATGATGTTCATATCTAATTCTTTTCTGTAAAACATGATTCTGTNTTTTAAAAAAAAGCTAGTCACTTATTTTAAAGATTTAAAAATAAAGTTCACGCAGTACAGTATCTTTTAAAATTTAGAAATGATTTTGTGACAAAATTTTTTTTTCAAGTGGGACTTAATATATATAAAATTAGCTGATGAATTGTGTATAGTTCCAATGTCATGATTGTATTAACACATTTTGAATTAAAAATGTTATGATTATTTAGAAAAAAATACTTTGCATTAAAAAATCTTAAGAAGATAAAAAAAATGACCATAATTGATTTTCAAGAATTGTGAAACAAGCTGGTAGCTTTTTTTAAAACAGTTTTATGTATTTAAATGGAAATGTGAATAAACCAGTGAAATTTATTGAAAAGAAAATTAGTTTGTAATGAAAAAAAAAGGTTACTGTAGCTGGGTTTAATTTTATTTTTCTTGTTAAATCTCTGTGGTAATATTATTTTTTGTTCTTTAAACTAAAGCTTTTTACTTGTTGATGTTTATGTAATCAAATGGTTTGTTTGCACTATATTTATTGTGATGATTTATCGTAATGATGTTCATATCTAATTCTTTTATGTAAACAGTTCAATTAACAGTATATTTTAGAAATCAGGTTAATTTCTTAAATGCTTAGTTTTATTTCAATTGATTTATAACTGTTTTTATTTTAATAATTCTTATCTACCTGATTTAATCTATTCTTTCCGATCTATTCTTCCGATCTTCCGATCCACTTGTTTTTATATTGCACTAGACCACTGAATATGTTGAGGTTGGAAATTATGATAATTTTTGTTATTGTAGAAAAAAAAATTAATAAACATTTTTTATAATATCAAGTTGATATTAAAAATACAAATACATAAACATCACATTGTTGAGTTTTCTTTAAAATAAAGATAAATTGTTTTTAATAATATAAATATTTTTTGACTGACTAGTTTTATGTAATTTTAATACTGTTCTTTAATGCAAAGTTTGAGAGTTCTTTACAAAAATGGATTTATTTATAAATCGCAAATTGAAAGTTGCAAATGTATAAAAAGTTGTAATATCCATGTTTATGAAAATAATATTTCAAGATTGGAAATACAAAAAATGAAGAATTTAACATATTTAAATCAAGCACGAATCCTTAAACATCAAAACTTCTGTTATTATTTATTGGAACTATTTATTGAAACAAATTTGTCCTTTTTTTGTATTATTTCTATAATTATTTTTGTCAGTTCTTATTTAATCTGTTCTCGCAATCTAAATTCTCTTGTATTTTGTTCTGCGCTAAGCACCAAAATGTTTAGTAGTTTTAATTGAACTTTAATATAAGGAGTAGGAAATAGAGTACCAATGATACGTAACGGAAAAAAAATTAAACAAAATTAAACTTAAACTTTTTATTCATTGCTAACTAAATTTTTTCTTTATACTTCACTGATTTACCCTTTGAAATCGGATGGCAGTAATCACCTCCCAGTTTTAATTGAATAATTAACAAAATACGAACTTATAGGGTTTAATCCTCATAGTGAATGTTTACCCTTTTCAATCGGATGGCAGTGATCAGCCGACAATTTTTATTGAATATTTAACAATTAATAAACTTATAGGGTTTATCATCGTAGTGAATGTAGACAATAAAATTGCTTTTGAATTTCATCTGTAGATGAAACTAGTGATTTGAAGTTATTAAAACATTCCCTAAATATTGTGTACCATATTAAAAATATAACAACTTCAAATTAAGAAATTTATTACGTTGATTAAAAATGTTTCAAATTTTTTTATAGGAATGTCAGACTCAAGATATATCGTCTGAACTTGTCATGCTTAAAGAGCAGGCGGAGGTGCTGAAACTTATGAATCCAGAATTATCGGAAGACATCAGTAAATGGATTAATATTTTAAGCAATAAATGGGACTTGGTGGAAAAGATTTTACATCCACAGAAAACTTCAGAACGAGATAATGCAATTAAAAGTAAGGAAACTCTTTTTGTACATTTATTTTTAATTTCCCGTTGTAAAAATTATCTCATGTTCTTTCCCCACCCCCTCCAAATAAGGAACTGTTCTGACTTAAGAAATACTTTTCTTTTTTACACATGAATGTTACCAGCAAAAGTAGAAAATGCCGGCATCGTCTACAATGCCTGGAAATATTTTAATAAAATATAGAATATTAGAACTCTTATTTAATTTATCTAGGCATTGTATTCAATAAAGTATGTGATTTAGTAAAATTATGAAAATCACATAGAAAGCTTGAATGCATTCATTTGTTTCTTCGCTTACTTGAGTAATGAAAAACGATATTTAATTAATTTATTAAATTTTTTTTTTTATGAATCAAAATTTTCACTTTTGCCGCTAACGTGGTAATTGTTGGCAACATCAGTGAAGGGAATATTGGGCAATGCCAATATCGGAGTAAAAATTGCCAGAAAAATTCATATTGGGCAATGGCCATTTATTTCAAATACATCAATACATGGAATACCAAACAATAGCACGCGTACTCTAGCCGGGTCATTATCCCATTTAATTCAATTGTTTTTTAGTAATAAATGGCGATAACTAAATATTTTAGATTTCTCACATTTCATTTTCGACATTTTCTCTTGTTTACTGCGATATTTCTTTTCATTATTTCATGATTTAGAACAGAGTCGGAACCTTCTTTTCTTTTTACTAAATACTAAGTTGTTCTTTTATCTTTTACCCTTATTTCTGCAAAGAATAAATAAATAAAACTTTCATTCTTACAATTTATAGTGATGTTTTAAATTCATAATTTTAATTTTTACTTTTTCTGTTAAATCAGTTACAAAATCTATCTAATTTTAAATGATTTATTTTTATGTGAATGGGTACATGCGCTTTTATAACGCTCATTTTCGAAATGTTAGTACGTTATATTTGTACTTCAGAACAGATTTATCTTAAAGTAAAAATATTGAAGCCCTTTTTTTATTTAAAAAATAATATAAAATCAGTAGCTTGCAGAGAAGGGAGGAGGAGGTAGGAGATATGACCCAAGGCATCTAACCAGAGGAAGCATCCAATTGATAACTAAATGACACCTAAACTATAAATTTGTATCTTTTTTTTGTGATAGTATAATTAAGACTAAATATTTGACTCGAGCAAAATAGTTTGTGAAGAACAAAATGTCATTTTCTCATACAATAATTTTAATAATGAAGACTTAGATCATTAAAATTTAAGTGGCCTTTACATTTAAAAATTTAAATTTCTTATAAATTTTTAAATTAAAATTCTTTTTTTTTCTACCTTGGAACTATATGCACTTCCTTACAAAAGAAATTTAAAGCATATATTTAAATTTTTTCCCAACATTTCTTTTCTTTTCGTTCTTCATTCTTTTTTTGAAAAATAAATTGTCTTCTTTTCTTTTTCTCTTTTACAATGATTGCACTTTCTTGAGGCGATCTTACGTAACTTCTAAACAAAAACTTTGCCCATGCATCTAAAGGCCTCTATCTGCAATGTTCACTGCATTTAAAAAAGTGTCTAGGAGTAAGTATTGATTTGTAATCTCGTATTTAAAATGCGATTTAATCCGTGATTAAATTGCAAAAATTTGAATATTTTCTTCAATTTAAACATGTTATTAGACCATTTTATGTAGATTTAAAAATAAAGCTAGTCATTTATTTTAAAGATTTAAAAATAAAGTTCACGCAGTTCAGTATTTTTTAAAATTTAGAAACGATTTTGTGACAATAATTTTTTTGACTTAATATATATAAAATATATAATATATATAAGTGAGACTTAATATATATAAAATTAGCTGATAAATTGTGTATAATTCCAATGCCATGATTGTATTAACACATTTTGAATTAAAAATGTTATAATTATTTAGAAAAAAAACTTTGCATCAAAAAATCTTAAGAAGATTAAAAAAAATGACCATAATTGATTTTTATGAGTTTCCTGCGTTTTATTCTACTTTGTTTGATAATCAGACTTATAATTTATGTCTTTTCATTGTAACTTTGAGGCTATTTCTGAACATTTTTAAACATTTAAAGAAACGCGTAAAGAGTAAATAAAATATTGGAGTAACGGAAACATTTCTAACCTACGAACAAATTATCGCGATTTTTTTAAGAAAAAAATATTGTATTGAATACATGTTCCAGAACTTTTTATTTGTAGTATAGGTGTTAAGGTGTGGTGACTCCTAACCATAGAGTTGAAATAGTAGGTAGAGGAACCAAGTTCGCTTTATTCCTTCTGAAAAGACACGCCACAGATAGCAAGCAAAGAGTTACAGTCACGTGATGGAAAGAGTGCAATACTTGGCACAGTATCACAAATGTTGGCGCACGAAGTTTTTAAACAGCTTTATTTCGATATTACCGATGCGCAAATAATCGGGGCATTTGAAAGAGAGAAAAAAAATATTTTCGTTAATCACATTTCTTTAATATTATTAAATGGGTTTTTAAAACATGAGGAGTTTTTTTTCTTCTTAACAAATAATTTTTAATTAAAGTACTGCCTTTATTTAAAAAAATTCAGTAGTTCTCGTCTGTACCCTTAACACTATTCCTTAAAATTTATTCATTATATAAAAATAAAAAACGATATTCTGCATCACTTATATTTATTACTATATTCAGAAATTTTTTTTTAAATGTTTTTATTGCAAAGACCTATTTTTAAAAAAAAAATTACTAATATATATTGTAATAACTATTGTTATTTTTTTTAAAAAAAATAATAACTTCGATACAAAAATCAGGATTTTTTTTAAATCTACCAGGGCTTAAAATGTGAATTTGAAAATGTTGCCCTTCTTTTTTAATGAAACACAAGTTCGTTTAAAAAATTAATTTAATCTTTACGTTTTAAAAGTTTTATCACTGTTAGATAAAACAAATTGTAAAATTAAACAGATTGTCTGAAAAAAGTTCGATGCTTAGAAATAACGTTAATGTTGCAACACTTTTATCATTTTTATTTATGCTCACCAAGAGACTGCTCGAGAGGTAATATCAAATTTCGGGAAAAATAGCTTCGGGGAAAATAAAACCCGTTTTTAGTAGAACAGATTAGTTAGAAAACATATTTTTGATTAAATTTAATTACGTTTAGAATTTTATTTATATATTGAATACATTAAATTATTTATACAATAAAGATTATTTACATTATTAATTTAGAATTTTGACTTCTTTTTTTCCTGACACTTAAAATAGATATTTTCAAAAATAAACTGCTGTTGCATTTTAACTTAATACTCAACAATTTGTCTAAATATGAAATAAAATATTTATTCTAATATAAAAGTTTTCAGCTCCGAATAGAGAAAAATATAAGATTAAAAGCATTAAACTAATCAAAGAAAATAATAAAAGAGTTTAATTAGAAATTTTACTTTGTATTTCATGTACAATCTAATTCCATAAATTACTAGGAAGTTTAAATTGTACACACAAAGAGACTAGTAGAAAAGCTTTCGAAATTTAAACAAAAAATACTTAAATAAAAGAGAAAGCAATTAGAATTTTTACTTTGTACTAAATGTAGATTGAAACTAATGACGAACTTATAATTAAAATATCTTACTTTTATTTGTGATAGAAATTGCAATTTATGCAACTTTTTATGAGGTAAATTTATGCAACTATTATAGGTCAATGTATATTTAATAATTTTTATGCAGAAAACCAGTATCTTAAAAAGTAGCAGTTAAAAATATTTTACTTTACAAATAAAAGAACCATAATCATTTTATGGACATTAAGAAAATTACAATGCCCATCCATAAAAAATGTAATTTTCTTAAAAATAGTAAGTGCATTTAAAACTATATCTTTTAGCCAGCTGCAAATTAAATATATACAATCTAGATAAAGGTAAAAACAGTTGAAATTTTACAAGAAAGGTTCACGATGCTAAATCTTTGCACCACAGCCAGCTGTTAGCCTTGGCCGTCTGAGCAGTTTATTCCATACCAATGCATAACATGCGCTAATTTACTGCACTAATTTACTCCTATACAACTTATCCACTTCTATGTTATGTTTTCTAAATTTGTTGCACTAAATCAAACTAATTCTACGCTTTAATATACTAGTAAAATAAAGTATTTCCAATAAAGCAACTATTTTTAAATAAAAAGAAGATAAACAAGTACTTAATGATTATATTAAATATACCTTAATTTATTTTCTAAATAGTACATAATTTGTATTCATTTTATGTATAGTAACAGAATTATATAATTTTATTAAAAATTAACACTAAAACTACTATACACTATTTTATATTTAAATACTAAAAATATTTCATAGAATTTAATTATTCATCAAACATATAAGAATATACAAATAATTTGGTTTTTAAGCATTCCTATGTAATTTAAAAAACACAACTTCTTATGTACCATATTTTTTATTTAAATATATATATTTAAAGGAAACATTTTAGAACAAGATAAATATTGGGTTTTAGTAATCAAGAGGTAAAGATATACAAAATCTTCAGAATATACAGAAATGATATCGACATTTAAAGAGAACTAAAACAAAACCGAAAGTTTACTCAACTGTTCCTTGGCGCTAAAGTATCTCGCCAAGGAAGCCAACAAAGCTTTGCAGCTATTTCAGCTAAAAATAGAATATATATTGAAATATACTTAAACATTATAAGTTTAAAGTTTAAGAAACAATAAAAACTTATGTTAAATGCAAAAAAAGTGAGCAAAAACGAGCGTAATTGATTATTAAAGCAAATAAAACATGATTATCAGAGCATGACTGAGTATCGGAAAAATTTTAAAATCAATTTTAAAATAGAAAAAGTGAAAAAAAATGTCGCCCTTTCTTGTAAAAAGTTATCGGACAGTCCCTAGAAAACTTCTCCGTGCAGCAAAATGCTCAGGACTTTTGTACCATTCTTATTTCTGAATTAAAAAGACAGACAGTTAATTGCATCAGACGA